TCGCACACTGTTCAGGGTGTGTGTGTGTGCACTTTGGATGGGATAAATGCAGAGCACTAATTCCGAATATGGAATCACATCACATATATAATTATTCACGGTATTTAGCAGTGCCCACGATAACAATACCGTGCATATTCATTACCGTGATATATCGCATTACCGAATACCGGCACAAGTCTAGATGCATTACACTTGAGGCATTTTCTGATGGAGCATATCTTAAAAACTCGACCAACTATACCCCACAATTAAAAGGAAATAAAACGAGAAAATGCATTAGTATAAATATGCAATAATAACAGGCAAATAATGTAATGTAATCTAAACAAAATCGCTCACTTGGAAGAGAACATTTGAATGTTGCTGTAGTGGAGCTCTCAGAACTGGTCTTCTGAGGAAGATTTCATTTGTTTATTTTTGAACTTGCAGATATTTCTGAGGGACAGCTTGAAAACACATTGCACTTCACCCCAAAAGTAAATGATGTGTGAAGTTGTATTTTGCAAAATGCAAAAGCTATGTGTTTTTAGCACCAGTTTTTGCATTTATTATCAGTAATCGAATCAATTGAGAGACTGTTTGATTAATTCCTCGTGAAATAATGCATGGTCCTAAAAACAGGTTAAGCAAAACTTAATTTGTTATATAGTTTTTCATTTGATTTTTAGGTGAACCATGACTGTTACATTTTTTTTTTGACCGGTTCTGTCTCTCTTTGCTGTCTTTTCCACAGGCATATGGAGATATAGAGTATGCTATTATTATAAGGAATAAGACCACAGGTGAAAGCAAAGGTCTGGGTTACGTGAGATTCCACAAACCTTCACAAGCTGCCAAAGCCATAGAAAACTGTGACAAGAGTAAGTGTGTCATTTGGTCCTTACTTTGTTGTTGTTGTTTTCATGTGTATTTATAAGTATTAAGTATGAAGTTGTCTGTCTCTGCAGCTTTTAGAGCTATTTTAGCTGAGCCCAGAACCAAAAATGCATCAGCAGACAATGACTACGTCAGCAACCCCAGATCGGAGCACTCTGGTAATGATCCAGGCTCTAACTCGTACAGCTTTGGTAAGTGTCAAGCCACTTCAAGTCTGGTTTCCACCCATGCTTTTGTGTGCAGTTTTTGCATGCCCGAGGGTTTAGCTTGATCATGGTGTGGTTTCCTGCAGCACACGAGTCCAGCAGCTATGCCTCGGGGGACACGTGGAGCTCTGACGTCATCACGCGGTGCCTGCTGGTGTCGTCCCGGGTCGCGGTCACGCAGGAGCAGATCTACGGTCTGTTTGACCTGATCCCGGGGATGGACTTCTGTGAGATGCAGAGAGATCAATACGGCTTCAGCAAAGGTTATATACCACACACTCCTCTACAGTGTTATCTCTCTATGCACAACTTTACTAAACCGTTTCAAAGGGTCGTTTTCCCCAAATTCCATAAAATTCACCATAAAAATATTATATACGACGTGAATTATATACTACCGTTGAAAATTTGGGCTCAGTTTTGTTTAAAATGAATTAATATTCGTACTCGTTGGGGATGCATTATATTGATAAACGGTAAAGACGTTTTTGCAGTCTTTCAAAATATTTCTGCTACAAATAAATGCTTTTTTGCACTTTCTAAGCAACCCTCTATACTGACCCATTGGCAAAAGAATTCGCATTAGCTAGTAAATCTCTTTATTTTACTCGTCAGCACTTTTTTCATCTACATGCAATATATAGTCAGTTGGATTGAATCTTTTTTGGTTTTGTGTTTCTTTTTGGAACTGATTGGTTGTAGCCCTCGTAGATCTGAGCTTATGTAGATCAGTTTTTGAGTGAAAAAAGCATTATTTGTGGATTATTTTGGTGCATAAACTTGACCAATGAGGCCTACAGTTAAAGAGTTCAAAAATATATATACAAAAGCCTGTGCTAATTGAAAGAAAACAAGTTGACAATAAGATTGAATCCAAGATTTGGTGATTAATAATAAAGCATAATGAAAGATTAACAATCAATGTTCAAAAGCCTGGGCATTTTTGCTAATAGAACATCGAAACCAATATTTGGTAATAATATAGCATAATGAAAGATTTACAAGCAATTTTTGTAGGCTGGTCATTTTTGAGCAGGAACACCTGAAATAGTAAAAAAAACTTTAAAAAAAAATTTTTTTTTATATATATTTATATACCCTGTGTGAGCAAAGTCAGTAGTTTTTAGTCCAGTGCGATTTCGAGAAAAAGGATATTGTCTTCATGTCAAAATGACTGGAACACAACATGAGGCTTAAGAATATATTTCACTTCTTGTTTTACTCCATTTTTCACACTTTCCTCTACTAGCTGCAGCAGGATGCTTTGTTTTCAGTGGGACAGTCACGTCACTGCATACCCTCTATAGAGCGACTCGATCCACTCCCTGATTAATGTGCATTCTTTGCTGTCAAACGCTCATTCAGAGTCTTCCAGCGTGAACGCTCAAATGCGGTCAGAGGACACAACACGCAGCCAAAATACACATGGTTTCCCCTTAGCTTCTAACTCGATTCCTGGCAGCTGAAATCTAACCATTTATTAGTCAGTGGCTGATGACAGACATTATTTAGTCGCCTGGTGTAAAATTTGATCACACATGTGAGTGATTTACTCGCAAAGTAGTGGGTTGTAAAAATACCCCTGAAAATTTTTTTCGCCATATTAGAATGATTTCTGAAGGATCATGTGACACTGAAGACTGGAGTAATGATGCTGAAAAATCAGCTTTGCATCACAGAAATAAATTACATTTTAAAGTATATTAAAATAGAAGTCAGTTATTTTCAATTGTAATAATATTTTGCAATACTACTGTTTTTTTACTGCATTTTTGATCAAATAAATGCAGCCTTGGTAAGCATAAGATAATTCGTTCAAAAGCATTAAAAAATCTTACTGACCCCAAACTTTTGAACTGATGTGTATGTATTAAATCGATATTGAAGTTAAGTTTGTTCCTCAAACAAAGCTAGCGTATGACTTCAGAATGACCGATGAAAGGGAGTCGTTTTAACGGCATGATCAAAAGGAGAAAATGAGTAAACTTTCAAATGTTAGCTCAATGGTCTCCTTCGTTTGACAGTATGTGTGTGCTCTACAGGTCAGGTGGTGGCGCGGTATAATAACCTGGGCTCTGCGGTTTATGCTAAAGAGAAGCTGAATGGGTTTGAGTATCCGCCTGGTAACCGTCTCTCGGTATCTTACATAGACGATGGGGAGGACAGGACGAGGTAGAGTCACCTTTACGCTCAACTCATTCTGTCTCAAAATTATGTTTGTGCTTCTGGTGATGGGAAAGTGCATGCTGCTTCATTAAAAAAGAATTTTGATGCCACGGATCTTCAGTTAAGTGACAGTGAAAGTGACAGAAGTGAAAGTGACATGACATGTGGCCAAGTACTCGGAATTAGTGCTCTGCATTTACCCATCCAAAGTGCACACACACAGCAGTGAACACACACAAACCGTGAACACACACCTGGAGCAGTGGACAATCCCTGCTGGTACGAGACTCGAACCCACAACCTTTGGGTTATGAGTCCGACTCTCTAACCATTAGGCCACGACTTCCCGTTAGCATTCACTTGTTATAATTATCTTGATGAATCCATCATTACTTAACCTGCCTCTTCTGTTACATAAGGGGTTGTGGGGAATATAGCCAAAAAAACTTTAAAAGTCTAGAAGAACTAGTGCCTTCTGGGGTATTTTAAACATGCTTTTATATTGATTGAACTATTATATTGTTAGAAACCGTTATAGCTGAACAATGTTAAATAGCTGTATGTATCCAAGTGCAGATTTTGTGTGTTGTGTTGTCTGTGCTCAGTCCCGTGGGGAAGATGGCGATGCAGCTTGTGGCCGCTCAGATGATGTCTATGGTGTGGAACGGCCCTTCTGGGGCACAGCTAATGAAGACTAGCGCGGTGGGTAATGTGTTCAACAACGAGAAATTTCTCAAGGTTTCTTGGTCATTTCTGCCAGGTCTCTAAATTAGTGATTTGTTCTACTTTCGTGCTCCATGGAAGACAAAGTCGTACAGTTTTGGAACAAAGAAGAATTTTCATTGTTGAGTGAACTTCCTTTATAAGCCATAGTTATCGCATTTTTCTACATGCTGTTGTAGTTAAATGATCATCAAAAGTTTTGGTCAGTACTTTTTTTTTTAAAGGAAGTCATTATTTTATTCAGCAAGGATGCAAATTGATCAAAAGTTACAGTAAAGGCATAAATAAAGTTACAAAAACTATCTTTCACCATCACAGGAATTAATTACATTTTAAGATATATTAAAATCACAATTTTCACAAAAATATTAAGATACGCAACTGTTGTTTTCAACACTGATAATAATGAGAAATGTTTCTTGAGCAGCAAATCAGCATATTAGAATGATTTCTGAAGATCATGTGACTCTGAAGACTTGCGTAATTATGCTGAAAATACAGCTTTGCATCACAGGAATAAATTACATTGTACAATATAGAAAATAAGTAACTTTAAATTGTAATAATATTTCACAGTATTACTTAGTTTGCTTGCATTTCTTTAGTCAAAAATGCAGTCTTAGTGAGCATAAGAGGTTACTTTCAAAAATATTTTAAAAATCTTACCGCCCCCAAACTTTCGAATGGTGGTGTACAGTTTGCTGCTTATTGATAGAAAAAATCCTTTTCATTATACAAAGTGATAGTTCACCCAAAAATGAACATAATTTACTTGCCCTCATCTGTCCTTTTTTCTTCCATGGTAAACAATTTTAACATATTTTAGCTATTAATATAGTTATTTTTGTGGGTCTTTTTGTCCAGTAAAATATGTTCTAGAGTAAGAATGTCCCTCAACCTAATACCACCTGCAAATGACTAGCAATAGCAAGAATCAAATTATGAGCTGTGTCTCATTTCACCTCCTTCACTATGTCAGGATGAAGTATATTATGGACACTAGCAAGGGCCTTGATCCACTAAACTCTGGGACAGTGATGACTCAGTTTCCCGCAACATGATAATGTAGCGACACATTAAAACAACAGCGCAACCTTTTGGGTTGATTTTTGTTTGTCGTGCATCTTTGTTGTTAAAGAGCGCAGTGTTATTGATATACTATGTGCTCGTCCTCCATATACATTGACTTGATGTTGTTGGAGAATGTTGGTGATCAGAAGTCATCAAACTGATTATTGACAAGGGTTTGTTGTGTCCTGTGTTCCTGTAGGGCTATACAGCACCCCCTGTACCTCAGAAAGCACGTGTGCAGACAGATGTAGCTCTGCCTCCTCTGAAGAAACTGGTGGCGTCTGACAGCGTGGTGAAGGAGCGGCTGTTTGTCATCTTTAACCCCTCACCTCTGCCTGTGGATGTGCTGGAGGACGTGTTCTGGTGTGTGTTTGTCTTCATGATTGATTAACACACTGCCTCTGATAGTGTTGGACCGTTGTAGCGTACTGTGTCTGAGTGAATGTATATACTTTCCTTAAGTGTTTTTCCAACATGACATGAACACATTTTTGTAGTCTGAGTTATATATACAGGTGCATCTCAATTTTCATACAGTTGACTGTTGACAAATATGATGCAGGGCAACAACTCCATAAGTGCAGTTATGCCCTAAAATTCTAGATATTGGGGCAAAAATGCTCCTGTATTAGTTTTGTCTCACATGATAAGCGATATCACACGAGCAGTGAGAGCAATATCACACAAGTGCTTGTTTCTGTCCTGAATATAACGAGCGCAAATGTGATTTTATAACAGTTCAGTAAATAAGAAGTTAATATTGTTATATTTTAAACACAATATTGTTTAGTTTTTGAATGAATCCGTATTTTGAACGAATCGAGTGAATCAAAGATTCGAGAGTCGTTTATTGAAATCCTGAATGAATCAGCCGTTCGAATGAATGAATGACTCAGCCGTTCGAATGAATGAATGACTCATAGACATTTACCTCCACCTGCTGGCAGTTTTAGTTTTTTATTTAGAGTATTATTTCATTTAAAAAAGGGAAAAAACTTTATAAGGGATAGTTCTCCACAAAATTAAATTACGTCATCATTTACTCAAACCTGAATTTTGTGGAACATAAAAGAAGGTGTTTTGAAAACTGTTGGTAACAAAGCTGTTTTGGTTACCAATGAGTTTCATTGAATGAACGTTGCAATGGAAATGTTTCTCAAATGATCTTCTTTTATGTTCCATAGTTTATGTTGGGCCGTTGTAGCCTAAACGTTTGTGTAATCAATTATATGTTGAATCAAATAAAATATTTCTTTCTAAACACAAAAATAGCTTTAAATAACATTTTGGGGATATTTTCACAGCCAAATGTAATTTGCGATTAATTAGATTAGTTAATCGACACATCAAAAAATAAATAAATAAATGTATCGACTGACAGCCTTAGTTTTAAAATGTAATTTATTTCTCTGATGGCAAAGCTGATTTTCAGCCTTCAGAAACTGTTTAGTCACTTTTCCTCAGTTGCTCTAATCGCAGTGGTTCCCAACACTGGTCCTGGAGGCACCCCAACACTGCATGTTTTGCATGTCTCCTTAATCAAACACACCTGATTCAGGGCATCAGATCATTAGTAGAGACTCCATGGCCTGAAATTGGTGTGTCAGAGAAAGGAGACATGCAAAATGTGCAGTGTTGGGGTGCCTCAAGGACCAGGGTTGGGAACCACTGCTCTAATGCAACAAAATGAAGAGTACAGGATGCGCATTAGGAGTGTAACTGAGCATTGTGTAATTGATCATATTCATGTGCTGCCACAGAGAATTATGGGATGTTTCTTTATAGCCGTCATCCCGTAAACTGGCTAAATGAATAGTGTTTAAGTTTTGTAGTAAAGTTAGTCTTCATCAAAAGCACAACAATTATGTACAAAATAATTGTGTAAAAATTCACAATTAAAACAATTATGGTCAATATCAATAGGCTTCTTCCATAGGTGCATCCCAAATCGTGTAATTAGGCACTATTCTATGACGTTTTGTAGCATAAACAGTGCGAGTAGTGTGTTCACACTGAATATTCCAGAAAGAAAAAGTGTGCTTTAAATACCCGGATGATGCACTTAAATAACCGAAAAAATGTTGTGTGGAATGTTGAACACTTCATGTGTCATTAAGTGCTGCTTCATGCCATTACTGACAGCAGACAATAGAACCATTGTTTAAACCAAAGGTGTCAAACTCAGTTCCTGGAGGGCCGCAGCTCTGCAGAGTTTAGTTCCAACCCTGCTCCAACACACA